TTTCTTTCTATTCTTTTCTTTTGTAGAGGTTTCGACGACGATTTGAAAGATGATAAAACTTTCATCGACGATCTTATGGATATCAAGGGACAATGTGCCTCAAGACGAAATAGCTCTGAACCTCTTCATTTCAGCGTTCGCATCTTTTGTTGAGAAGAACATCGTGAGTTCCTGTTTATTTTAAGAAAGGAGGTAAGATCTTCCTCCCAGTCAAAGAGGTGAAGGTTAACAAAAATGAAGGCCTACTTAGGCCTACTTGTATTTATCAGTTAATTGAAGCCGTGCTATCGACGTATTGCGCTATTGAAGCTCATTATACAGCTAACGCTAGAGAAAGCCAGACAACCACCTACATAGTTTGCGACCTACGAACAGCATTATTGCAATACTTAACTTACCTTTTTTTGCTGATACAACCCATTCAGTGATCCATCTTGGCAATTAATCCCACCCCTTTTCATGGAGATCTGATTCCATACGACTGCATTCGAATCAGTCTGTTTTTTCTTCATCCTCTTATCCTTAAAGGCACATGGTACGATCACACATAATTTGGGTGTGCGTGACTATCAGCCCCCCCCCCCCCCCCCAGCTGCAGAAGCGTAGCAGTTTCCCCGTCCTAACATGCGCAGGAATACAAGACCATGAAACACGCTAATTCCTCCATGCTCCGCCCAATGCCTTTTGCGGCGCAGACTCCCGTTTATGCTAACAGCCGTCCGCGCGGCGCGTGTCGCGCGCAGCGCTCTTGGCACTTTGCCAAGTCCTGTAATTGCGCTTTGGAATTCCCCTCCTGCCCTCGCCCCTCTCAAGGCAAACAGCTCCGAAAATTTGCTAGAAAAGGTGCGCACTTCTGCTCGAGGACCATTATTGTGCTTTAGCCACCCATCCTTTTTAGCTACCCTATATATGTAAGAAGTAAGGCAAAAATGCTGTACCTTCACATATACAGGTTCGGATTCACCCTGAGCAAAGTTCGCAAACCATGATATCCGCAGTGTCAAGTTATGATCGAATTTTAGGTCAACGCATGTGAATCTATGAAACATGTTTTGAGCAAGTCTGATGCCGATCTTACGGTTTTGGTATACACCTTCCTGAAAACTATGATCGATCAGCCAAGTGAGTGGTTTCTTCAAGTTTCCGCCGTTTTCTTCTGCAATAATCATGTTAATAGTGCTATACTCTTCTTTGAAATGTAAACTGTTTCAGTTGCATCTTCCCTTGAATCTGATCTCAAGCGGAAGAAAAACGTTTGCAACCGCGTTGTACTATTTCTCAAGCATATGGATGTGTATGATAGAGTAAGCTGGCACTTGCATATCTTTCTTAATTCATGAATGAGCTTGAGAGCTCTGTAAAGGGTCGCAGCAATGTCGATAGGGGGGGGAGCATGCTCTGAAAGGATGGTGGTCTCGATTGCTTTCATACTTTCGCGTGCGGTGTCAGAGCGTGGGCTGTAGAAGTTTAGACGCATCCACATGTCCTAGGAAAGACAAGTCAATCCTCAAGGCAGCTTCTATACTCTGGGTTGCCCACTTATAGGCACGCATACAATTTTGCTCGCTGCGAATAATGGGGCGTGTCTCGCGAGATGGTTTTGGCGCGGCGCCAGCTAGTTTCTCTTCTTTAATTTCCGATGAGCGACTGTATCAAATCGCTCGTAGCAGGAATTCTCCACCAACTGTTCTTGCTTACCCGCTTCAACAACTGGTGGAGATCGGGCTGACGGCTCGCCAATCCAGCCTCTCTGACACGCCTCATCACTTGCAACGAGCAAGGATGTAGAAGAAATGGACACCGATTTGTGCGCTTTTGACGAGAGCGCTTCAAAGGGTTAAAGAGGATAACCAACGGCTTGTCGTTTTTCATTTCCTATAAACATGCACTGGAAGAGTGATGCAAGGTATGGAAACTTTCCTAAGCGACACTGCCATTTACCATCATTTTTTCTTGGTTTGCTCTTCAGTAACTAGTGTTCATGCTAACCCAAGTCGTTTCGCCCGCGTAAGTACCCATAACTGCATCTGCACCGGTACGCTTGCTTTTTTCTGTACTATATGCCAGCAATTTGTTCCTTCGTTGTGAAGCGCTTGCATAAAGCCTGCCCCTATCCTGTCCTTATGAACTCACCTCCCTTATTGTGGAGCAGCGGAAAGTAGGACTATATTTGCAACTGCGCAGGAGACTTCTCAGGCAAGAAAGAAATCGTGGTTGAGGGTGGTCGATATCCAAAGGTGTGAATGTTGCAAGGCGAAGGCACAAAAATCATTGAGCTGGGAGCGTAAGAGGCCATGTTGGTGGGCTAGAACATCGTACTGCACGAAAGAAGTAAGTTGCTGGTTCAGGTCCCACCAGAGGTCGAGACTTTGCCAATATCAGCGGTCTTGTGATGAAATTCGTTACGGAGTATGCGGCGCTAGAAACAGCTATCGCAATAAAACAACATTTCAAACCTTTACTTCGTTTTAAATATCACATGACGAAGATTTTGTGCATCTGCATTTCGTTCCTTTAAGGTTGCAACAACCAAAATTCTTATGTCTGATCAGCGAAATTCTCGAACTGGAGCTTCTATATTAGATGAGGTACGTTTAGCTCTTATCATCCCACCCGCCTGTTTCAATAATTAATGCATGTCAATATACACCTATGTACTCTTTGGTTCAATGGGTAGGTCCACCGCATCACGCTTCTACGACCCGTAGACACGAATATCCTTTGGATAACCGTGCTCCCATCCCACTAAATTTGTTCACTACCAGATCTCTAATGGTATTTGACTCGAAATGGCGCAGAGTGAGTGGCGCCGCTTACCACGTGCATGATTAAGAGACGGAATCTCGAGTTCGGCTCCCGCTTTGAGTCAACGAAACGTGCCATATCTCCGTAGTCACTTTATTGGCGCCTCTACGATCTTTACGGAAGTAGGTTAGCACGTCCCAAAAAGCGTTTTATTAGCGCCGAAAGCCGTA